TTTCAGGTAAAATTTGCGTAATAAAGTAATTATTTTTGTGAAATGATAACCATTTTTGTAAAATACAGTCAATTTACATGCAATTTGTTTGCGAAATTTGCTTTAGAAAACGCCAGAAATTCAGTCCTAGAGCTTCGAAAATGCAAAAATTTTCTGGGGGAGGACCCCCAGACCCACCTTTTCTCACAAAACTTAGTATAAGAGTGCCAATCAATCACAAAAAGCTTTATTATAATTATTACACGTATAATCCTCTGACATCCCCCCGGCCCCCACCCCAAACGTGAGATGCTTTGCTACGTCCCTGATGGTTGTATTCGAAACCGATTTCAGTTTTAAGATATCCTTAGTCTGCTCTTCTAAATGGATACATGAAATCACCTATAGCTTATTTTAAATTTTTTTGCGCCAGGTTTGTGAAGTAATTTACGCGCCAAAAAGCAAAAAAGCATATACAATTTGCAAGAATGATATGTTCTATGTTTATGGGATATTTCGTACAAACGGGATGGAAATTAAGGAAATTGAAGCATACTGGCACTTTTGCATTGAAAATTTTAAAAACTTGGAGGGGGGGCATCGAAATTTACAGATAACCTCAACAGGGGCCCTGTAAAAATATGAGATTTTTTCAAGACATCTTCATCCCCCTCCCTCGGTGTAATAAATGTACTTTCCCTAACGAAAAATGTATTATTTCCCTTTGCTACAAATTATCATATTTAAAAATAGAAAAAAACTAAGTTTTATCGCGGTATTTGTCGATAAATCGGTAATCGCTACAGAAAAACAGAACAAATTACAGTAAATCACAACAAACTACAGAAGCGGAAGTGGGACACTTTTTGTATTTTCACTGTAAGATTTGTGGGACGTTAATTTTCTTAATACATTTCGTTAAATCGGTAAACATAGTTGAGGAGCACAGAAACCTTATACTATTTACTAGTACAGTAGTAGGATTTTATGTCAGCCAAATTTTCTATTACTCGAATTTGATACGATGCGCGTGCGCGGCTGCCATGCTGTCTCAGATTTCTGGCCATGCCAGCGTTTGTTTGTTTAATGACATATCAGGCTAACTTGTATTTCAACGAATTGTCGTTAGGGTTTGTATAAGGGATATGGCGTAGATTTAGACATCTTAACATGCATGTAAGTCTTAGCTCATGTCATTGTTTCCTGAAATATGAATGTTCGAAATTATGCAAGTATTTAATAGGTCTTTAGCCTACAAACTTAAAGGTACATGAAAGACCACTAAGGCAGGCGCTTAAATTTTTCTTAAATTAAATAGCCTAATTTTTTTATGTTTTTCATGGGTTAAAAACAGAGTTGATTATTTCTCGGTTAGAGCAGGATGAATAATATTCTTATTATGAAGGAAATAATATTGCTTTTTGCAAATACACATCACAGTATCGACGCTACTATTTTGTTACGTTTTGTTCCAAAAATTAGTGTTGGATGTCTCTGGGGAGTTGCTTGTTATGACTTATGGAGTTGTATGGTTTGATTGTGTTTCATTCTCAGTTTATTCTGAACTTAACAAGATAAACCAGATTAAGAAAAGGCAAAAGATTTTAAGTTTTCTTAACAAGATTTCAGAACTTCGAAGAAGTTAGAAGAGCTTCACAATTCTATTGTGACAGCATGCCCTAATTCAGAACTACGAACGCGGATATTCATGACGATCCTTCGCGATGCAGTGGTCTCATGAAATAAGGAAACGTATTCGTGCTAGGAACACATGCACACGGATTTCGGGGAAATAAATCTTGCTTGTATTTTGTAGATAATAATACTTTGTTTCATAATAAACAATTTGTCAAATGTCATTTATTTACTGGTAATAGTGCATGTTTCAGTCGGGCAAATGTTGATTAATATTTGATACGCCGTTTTTTTGCATATTTCAGACACATCCAGAAATATGCTCCCGATTTTAAACATTAATATCTCCGTAAATTTTTAAGTGAAATACAACTCTAATATATCAAAATCTAAGTTAGTCCTTCCTCTATTTGATGCAAGTTATTTCTCTTTAAGAGACAATGTCCACTAAAACCGAGCAAAATCGAGAATACGTGGCACATGAGGAAAAATAAAAAATCTTCTTATTTTTTCCAGTGATACTCAAATGTGTACTCAGAAACGTGGTGGGGTTTGTTTTCTGAAATATTATTTTAAACGCCGAAAATTATCAAAACCTCACACATACCCGAGATTCGCGAAATTAGCAAAAAATATTGTGAGCTACGGCCTCTCGAAAATTTCGTTTTTCTCAATTGGCGTGTGATGAAACCTCACCTTTCGTTTTTAAACGTGTTTATAAGATGTTTATAAAGGCCGTGGGTCCAATTTGCAATTTTTGAAATGATTTTTCAATGTCAAGACAAGCGTGTAAAAATCGTCTTTTTTTGCGATCCAAAAAATTTTAAATTGTTACACTTTTTGAAAATTAATTTACCGTATCCGGGAAAACTCCAATTTCCTTGAAATTTACGGAATTTAAAGACAGACTGTTGCTCTAAAACCTGATGTAAAAATTATTTTGGGGCTTTTTGTTACGGCGGAATTATACTGACTATAATATCGAGAAAATCACAAAAAAACCTTAAAAATCCTCAGACAATTAGCCACTTTGCTTCAACTATAGACAGTCGAACCTTAATCATTCTTGCTAGTTTTCTCTTGTTATTGATAGGAAATATAAGACGTAGATAATTTTAAACTAGTTTGCCTATTTCTAGATAAAAATACGCTGTTAAACTCTCCAAGACTAAGATTTCTGCTTCAAATTCTTGTTTCAATTGATCGATCCATGCGCGCCAATTAAAATAAACTAGAAACACTTGTACACTCGCTAGATTCAAGGCTATATATACTTACTATATAAACAGTCAATCATAGGCGTACCGGGCGGGGGGGGGGGGCGGTAGCCCCCCCAGTTTTTTGGGCAGTCGGGCAATATTCGATCAACAGTCGGGCAATTTTGGTTTGTAATAAAAATAAATGGGATAAATT